TATCCCAATTTTACAGCTGAGCAGTCTGAGGTTTGAAGAGAGACCTAACTTGAAGTGGCAGAGATGGGACTCAAGCCTGTCTGATTCCCAGACTCATGCTCTGACCATGCTTCTCGATGGTCTCTGTGACTCTCTGTGTAAGTGAACTCATTCCAAGGACTTCCTCTTGTCCTGCACTCTGGGCTCCCCATTGCTGGTTGCAACCTCTTAACTGTTGCCTCTTGCCCATTATGGAGAAATCTCTCACTGCCCACCAGCTGCACCTCCATCGGAAGAAGCGTGGGTCGTCCACATTCTTTGCCTCATTGCAGGAGAGACTCCTACACAAAGCTCTTGTCCATTCCCTAGCCATTACTGATGGAGGTGTCTTTAGTATCTTTTCTTCCTCTTATCCACTTCTACTTAAAGAGCTCTCTTTTGTTGTAAAAGTCCCCCTGGAAAGAGGAATGGCCCAGAGGAGGTGGAGGACAAAGCAACTTTCCTGCCTGACACAGACCAATTATGCCCAGGCAGGGGGTGGGGCAAAGAATGAGGGAGAGCCCCATGCTTGGAAATAAAGTCCTGGGCTCTATCTAGTTCTGGTTTCGTTGTTACCCATGGCATCTTGAGAGCACGTCCTTTACTTTCTCTGAGCTTCAATTTCTGTTTCTGCTATAAGAGGCAGTTGGATTCGATGGCTAATATTCTTTGATTTTATGAATGGCAAGGTATTTGTCCTCTGCTAGAAAGAAGAAGCAAGAAGGGGCACCAGCAGTTAGCATAATGGCTATGTCGCTGGACTCCCGTGTAGTCGACTGTGGTTCGAGTACCGGACCCGGTGGCTTAAACTCTCGCCGGGCGCATGTGCATGCGTGCCCAAGATCCTGAGAGGAGAATGGAGGAGAAGGGATTGCAGCATGGCCATCCCCCCAGGGGTTGATTTCTCACTTTCTGTCTCTCTGTCTCTCTCTGTCTTTCTGGCGAGTGCACGCGCCCTATAGCAAAACGCGACAAATACAAAAACACTTACAAAAAAAAAAAAAAAAAAAAAAAAAATAGAAGAAGCAAGAAGGAAGGAGAGACGAGGGGGAGGAGATGAGGACTTCGTGGGGAGGCAGATTCAGGTGGCACAAGACAAAGGCCATGTAACAGCCCTGCTGGGGCTTTAGGAAGGGCTCAGCGAGGCAGAGGACACATCCTTTCAGGGCTGCCGCGGAGTGAGACGGTAACACTCCTAAGCTATCTTCCCCGTCTGGCCGGTGCGCCCACATATACTGTCAACATAATTTTAATGCATTTTTCTAAACTTTTATAATAAAATTACCCACAGTTCTTTGGAAAAAGATTGGTAAACACAGATAAGCAAAGAGCAATGACTCTAGACCAATAATCTTCCAATTTCTTTAGCTTCGTACCTTTGGCAGTAAGTTTTAAATACTCTCAATTTATTTATCTGTAAGTTATACATGTAAAAACCCACCAAAGTGCTAATTAAGAAAGGTAAGATTAGGGGCCAGTGGGTGGTGTGTGATGGTTGGGGCGCTGGATGCTGTTTGAGTCCTGGACCTGTTGACTTTCTTTCTCACTCTCTCCCCTCCCCTCGCCCTTTGTCTCTCTGGTCAGACTGAATAATAATAAATACAATAAAATAAAAAAAAAAATTTTAAAGAAGAAAGGTAAGTTTAAAAGAAAAAAAAATCTCAGTTTCCCAAAGCTCAGGACAGTCAGACAAGCCCCTTTGGAGTCAGTGGTGGTTCTAGGCTTGTTAACATGGAGGAAGCTGAGGATGCCGGGAGCTCTGTGTTCCTGGCACTAGCGCCCTAGGCACCATGCGGCTCCTATCAGGAACTCCACACACGTTTCCTGGCGGAATGAATGAAAGGATGAATGGCGTACGGGGTGGGCGCAGATCACAGGACTAGCGTGAGAAGAGGAGAAGTTGGGTCTGAGCCACAGGGAAGGCAGAGCCCTGGCTGTACGAGTGGGTGAGGCACCACACTCCCCCGCTAGGCCGGGCCCTTTAGAGCTGCTGAGTTTGTGCTTCTGCAATGCTGTGGGTTGAAAAAAAGACCACAGGATCGTGGAAAGTTGAGACTGAGAGAGATTACAGCCTATTGGGGGAGCTGGCCAAAAAGTCATCTTGCTTCCCAAATTGATGTGCCCCACATCTCACGGCTAGTTTGTGGTTAGAAGGAAACCTTCATGTCAGCTGGTGGGGGGCACTGACGTACTTAAAGAAAGGCTTTTAGACAATTCAGTTTGCCTGATGAGTTTCCAGCAATTCAGGTCACTACAAGTTGTGGTGACGCGGGCTCCCGTTTTCTAAGAACGGCTCATCCAGTTCCTAAGATATCTGATGAGTGGCTCCACTACACCCAAGCCGTGAGATCTCAATGGTTCTTTTGTGGGCTTTGGGAGCCGCTGAGTTGGGGAGGGAAGAATCATTGAACTGCGTCCATGCAAGCAGAGAACATTCACCTGAAACCTCACATTCCTACTGGTGTGTGTGAGTGTGTGTTAGCATGCAATAAACATGCAGACAAGTTTAGTTCACTGCCTGGTACATTGTACGGAGTTTTTACGGAGTGTTCGTCCTCAGGCCAGCCAGTGGTGTGGTGGTTAAGGTGGCTGGATCCCACATGACTGACGGCATGGTTCGAGTCCTGAACCCAGAGGCATAAAAAACAGCTCCAGTTGCATGTATGTGCTGACCCAGAATCCCAAAAGGAGGGAGAGATGGAGGGAAAGGGGTTGTGCAGTGATTCTGCCCCATGGGGAGAGGGTGCTTTCTCAATTTCCCGCTCTCTCTGGGAGCACACGCGCCCTCTGACAAATTTCTCCTCCTTTTGTGCATTGGTCCCAGATGCTGCATCCCTTGTCCCACCCACATTCTTCCCACTCCTCCACTCAGCCTGAGTCCCCAGAATCCCTGGAGGAAGCGCTCCTAGCCCAGATTCCTGCAGACCTTGCCCTCTAGACCACGCAGTGGGCTGAATTACACCCTTCTCGCGTTGTCCTCTGCTGGGTCCACGCTGTTCATGTGTGCCCCCACACCAGACCCTACTATTAGTTTACAAGCACCCCTGACCTTAACAGAGATACACCGAAGCCAGGACAGCTGGGCGCTGCCTTGTCTCTGCCATGGACTGAACAAATCATTTAACCTCTCGGTTTCAGTGTCCTCAACTGCAACGTGGAGATAATGTCACCACCTCCCAGGGCTGTTGTGGGGATAATGGGTGTGAAAGCGCCCAAATCATTGTATGAATGTAAGGAGTGCTGTTATTATCACCTCTGTGGAGTCCACCGCAGCCCCTGGGTGCCTCCCTCGCCTGGTAGAGAGTAGATGATAAATTCCTGACGGATGGAAGACAGAAGAGCTTGGTGACAGCTCTCGTCATAGGCTCCAGGGAGCACGGGTTTGAACCTAATCTTGCAATTACTCCCTTCATTGGCAATGCAAAATCTCCTGCATTTTCGAAATCCCTAAGCACCCTCCGCTTTGAGCTGATAAAGCAGGGGTTGCAGCCTTGTGGGGACAGAATGGCACCCCCAAACAACCCCAGGCCGCACCATAGCACCCTCCACAGGCAGCGCTGACAGCAAGGCATTGGTTGGAAACAGTCTTTCCAGGGACCCTCCCTGGCAGAAGATTCAGGAAGCCCAAAGGAACACCAATCCTTTCTGCTAAAGGTATCAGAGCATCAGTGGAAGCTTGTAGAATATTTCTCTGTTATACTTTCTAAATGAGAAAAGGCAGGGTGCGTCCAACAGCCACCCACTAGCAGTGAGAAAGAGCACTATTCTCTTCGGAAGGTTTTGATAAACAGCCAGGCGGTTACTTTTCCCCCCTCTACGTTAAAAACTCTGGTTTGGGCTTGCTGGCGAATGCCATGCAAAGCTCATCTTTTGTTAGTCTGCAGAACAATGTTATTGGTTATAATTGGGGCAATTATGGGCTGCTCGAGGACTCGAGGAAGCTAAACACAGATGTTTAAGCCCAGGATCAGGGTATTCAAGTCCAAAGCCGCCTGCTTTAAATAGTCCATCCTGCTTTACTTGAAATTCCCCCAGAACTTGCCTATGTTCAGAATGAGAGGAGGGAGGAGGGGATGGGTAGCGAAGGGAGGGGAAGCGAGACATGCAGTGAGTGAGTGAGAGAGAGAGAGAGAGAGAGAGACGCACAAAGATAGGAGGAGGACGAGAAGGCTGAGAATAGAGTGGTAAGACTTCGGATGCTATGACTTGCGCATGGACTATTCTGCACGACCAGCCAAAGACCTCGAGGTGGGGGAGATGAGCAGGAGGAGAAAGACGTGAGGGAGAGAGGAGACCTCAGAGGGATTCGGGGTCTGGGAGAACAAGGTCATGCCTGCAGACAGTCACTCTCCAAGGAAGGCACAGGCAGCGAGCGCGGGCAGCAGGGCACACAGGTGGGGCACAAGCTCAGGTCTGCCTTCCCCCTGCATCGCTAGCAGCGATTTCTACCCGGGGCATAAGGGAGACGGGCTCCCTCAGGAGGAGAAACTCGGATCCAAACGGCAGCAAGTTCAGTGACACGTTGAGGACCAGCCTGCGCACAACCTTGGGAAAGGAAGAGGAAGCCAGGAGAGAAAAGCCTCACTCAGGCTCCAGGGGCTTCCTGGGGGTCCGCCTTGAAAGGCAAGACCTCTCTCAAGCGGCCACCCCTTCCGGCTCTCCTTCCTACAACCACCTCTTCTCAACACATAGCAGCGACAGAGTAGGGGCCGACACTGGGGAGCAAAACTTTTCCTCATTTCCAAGTTCAGCTCTTTTTCCTTCTGCATCTCTCAGACGAGACTTAAAAAAAAAAAAAAGACAAAACCCCCAAAATCCTCCCCCTCCCCACCACCTAAGTGCTGCAAATAAGATGAATGAAGAAATCGTCAGCAGCGTCTACACTGGACAAAGGAGAGAAGCTGAGGAGCCCACCTGGCCCCTGCTCCCCAGGGCTCCATGCAGTTAGTCCCCAGGGCTGGGGTTCGCCTGCGGCTGCCTACCTGAGAGCTGTCGGTGGCCGGCTCCCTCGGAAGCGAGGCTTGGTTCCGCTGGATCGACCACACCAGCATATATATCCTCCCCACGACACGCACAGCCCTCCCTCCTCTGCCCACCTCGATGACACATCCACACGCTGACCCCCTTAATCAACCAAACAGCAGAACCTACAATCCCTCCTGGCTGCTCGCCCTCCCCCCGGCTCTGCGATCAGACCTGTGACATCCCACCCTCCCCATCAATCTCGTCCAAGCCTGCTTACCTGGACTGCTCAGCCGGGATCCCACAGCTGCCTTCTCTGTGTTTCCAGAGGCACTGCGAGGACAGACAGGGAGCTCTGGCAAGTCAGTGAGAAAAAAAAAAAAGACTCCTGGTGAGTGACGAGGCAGACCCCAGATCCTGGAGTCTCCTTGAGCAACCTTTTTGCCTGAGGAGTGGAGAATGAGAAGCAGGCAGGAGGGAGAGGGGGGGCTCGTGCCAGCTCCCACGGGCAGGGAGAAGCCCCCGGCTGAGCTAAGCCAAGCCCCTCCTAATGTCACTGCCCCACAGACAGCAGCTGCTAGGCCACTCCATGGGGTGGTTTACCTGCCACGGCTCAGGTCAGGGGGCATCCCCACAGGTGCCCATGGCACGGCGCAGCGGGAAAGGCTGAGACTGGAGACTCCAGCAAAGCATCTGAAATTCGGGCTCTACTATCAGAGCAAGTTGCTTTTCTTTGTGAACCTCAGGCCCTCCTTCTGTGAAACGGGTGTCAATAGCTCCCGGAATGGTTGTGAGCAGAAAAATGGGATTCCGTTGGTAACTAGAATAAAGAGGCCTTTAATCAATGTTGGTTCTGCATTCTCCCCCTCCAAGGTCCCCCTTTCCTGTGAATTAGTACCATTGGGATCTAGAAAGCTCATGTCAGTGTCCACTGTCACAATGATAAGCATTTAAAGGGCCTTGGAGGCTTGAAGGTGCATCCTGGGAGAGCCCTCATTTCCCTGCCCTGGATGGAGAACTACGACCTTACCCTTGGTTTTCCCAAAGGGTTCTGAAATGTTCCAGAATCCCAGGGATAGAGCCTATGTCATCCAAGGAGCTGGGGCACTTAATGGCAACTCTGGCTCTCTTGTCCCCAGGGACAGGGTCACAAAGGAGTAAGGGAAGCATCTAACCCTACTGCTAATGGGGACAAAGTTTCTTTTTGGGAAGATAGAAGTGTTCTGAAGTCAGATTGTGGAGATGGCTGCCTAACACAGCAGACATACTAAAACGCACCAAACTGCGTACTTTTCTTTTTTAGAGAGATTTCTGCTATACGGCGCATGTGCTCGCCGGAGAGACACAGAGACACAGCGAGAAAGGAAAACTGAGAAATCACCTCTTCCCCCCGGGAGGGGGATGCCAAGACACAATCCCTTCTCCATTCTCTTCTCAAGATTTTGGGCATGCACACACACATACATGGCATGAGTTTCAAGTTGCCAGGTCCGGGACTTGAACTGCAATTTGCCATGTGGGAGTCTGGTGCCATAACCACTAGCCCACCTCCTGGCCCCTCCAATTGTGAGTTTTAAAATGGTGCATTTTATATTCATTATATTTCAACAAAAAGAAAAGAGTTTAAAAAAAGAAAGAAAGCATTTGTCCAGGTTAAGAGCAAAAAGTTCTGAGAATAAAATTTCGCTCCCATCTGTGTTCACAGGGAGAGGTCCCGGGAGATCCACGCGCTCACCATTCCTTGCTTGATCTCTGCTGCCCAAGCCTTAGCTGTTACTACGGCCAAGAGCACCATGATGACCTCTGGGGAAGCTGCGTGCCCACTGCATGGCATGGGGTCAGTTTTATCCTGCAGTAAATCTGGGGCCCCAGGCCTGGAGCCTGATTTCACACATGCCATAGCAGACATTGCTGGGTGTCCCCTAATACCACCCCCTCAGTCTTCCGTACTAACCCGTACCCTCGATTTTATTCTGTGTGGAAATGTGTTCAGCTAAAACCCTACATTTCTTAGCCATCCTTACAGCTGAGGGTAGCCAATGAGAATCAAGCTGCTAGTCCTTGGTGAGGCTTTCAGGAAAGCTCTTAGAAAGGGGATCATCTCTGGGGCAGCCGTGGTGCGGTGATTAAGGCAGCTGGATCCCACTTGGCTGACCATGTAGTTTGAGTCCCAGATCTGGTGGCTTGAAAAACACACCAGGTGTGTGTGTCTATGCCAAAAAATCCCGAAAGGGAGATAGAGGAGAATAGATTGCAGTATGATCTTCCCCTGTGGAAGAGGGTGTTTTCTCACTACCCCCACTCCTTGTATCTCTCCTTGCACATGGCCTCATGTAAATTAAAAAGAAGAAAAAAGAGGGACCAGCAGTTGGCGTAATGGCTATGTTGCTGGACTCCCATGTAGTCGACCATGGTTTGAGTCCTGGACCCGATGGCTTAAACTCATGCCACGTGCTTGTGTGTGCATGCCCAAGATCCCAAGAGGAGAATGGAGGAGAAGGAACTGCAGCATGGCCATCCCCCTTGGGGGATGATTTCTCACTTTCTGTCTCTCTGTCTCTCTCTGTCTCTCTGGCAAGTGCACGCATCCTATAGTAAAAACATCTAAAAAAAAAATTTAAAAAAAAAGAAGAAAAAAGGAAGGGGGTTCATCTTAGCTAGAAGAGGCCTCTTCTTTGCCCTCCTGCTTTTCTGCCTGGAACACAAATGTAATGGCTGGAACTCTAGCAGTTATCTTGGACCACAAGATAACCTTGAGGATGTAAGGCAGGGGCTAAAGATGCTGGAGCATAAAGTGGAGGGTTCTGGGTTTCCCATGGCTATGGAGTTGCTGTACCAGTCCTGGACTTAAGCTTTTTTTCCTTTTTTAAAGAGAGAAAAACTCCAAATATTTATTTCAAATATCAGGTGGTGTTTAGTTACATGTTACTACATAAGAAGCCATGCCAAGTTAGAGGCTTAAAATAACAAACCACTTATGTGACTCATGACTCTGCAGGTTGACAATCTCAGCAAGGCTCAGCAGGGCAGTTCTTCTGGTCTCAGGTGGACTATTTCATGCATCTGCAGTTAGCTGCAGGATAATCTTGGTAGGTTAGCTGGCCATCATTTGGGGACATCTTGTTCTCCTCCAGGTGTCTTATCTTCATGTGTCTCTCACATATTTCTAGCATTCTACACTGGTACGATCTCGTTGAAAGGCTAAGGCGTGAGCACAAGCAAAGGTGATCTAAGCGAGAAAGCAAAAGCAGCATGAAGACCCTTTTCAATCCCAAGTATGGAGCTCCTACTCCATTGTGTTTGCTACATTTGTTGGCTAAAGTCAGTCACAAGGCTGCCTAGAGCCAGGCTAGGTGGAGACTACTAAGTCTTGGACAAAGGGGGTGACTACACAGAGGCCATGTATTGACATTGTTGGAAACTTTAATCATCCATTTTTTATTTTTATTTTATTTATTTTTTGAGAGGTTTTCCCTATAGGGTGCATGCACTCTCCAGAGAGACAGAGAGACAGAAAGCGAGAAATTATCCCCCAGGGGGGATGGCCATGCCACAATCTCCTTCCCTCCATTCTCCTCCCAGGATCCTGGGCACACATGCAAAAAAATAATTATTTAATTTTATTAATTTACCCAATCATTTTCATTTGACCAGAGAAAGATAGAGGGAAGGAAAGTAAGAAAGCAAGCCACCAAGTCTAGGACTTGAACCATGGTCGGCCATATGGGAGTGTCCAGCACCTTAACCACCATGCCACCTGCTGGCTCTCATGTTTTGTTTAAGCCACTTATTTGGATTTTTTTTTTATTGCATTCAGTGGAAAACCATCTTAAAAGACACACATGCCTTTGAGTACCTACCTATTCATCCTCAGGATATTTGGGTAGTTAAACGCTTTGGTTCTTTTGCAGTTGAACTTTCCTTCCTTCCTTCCTTTACTAGATGAGAGCATTTAACCCAATGAACTTGGAAACAATCTGTGGGTTGGATGGAGCTGCATATTATGTCTGGCTGCTCCCATCCCAGATGAGAGGAAGGGCAGGATGAACCCAGGAAGGGAGCTGAAAACCACTGCTGGGTGGGAATGTGAGAATTTTGCCTGTCAGGAAAGCACAAACAAGCCAGGGAGGATACAAAATGTGTGGTGTTGGGGCCGCCAGGTGGTGTGTTGATTAAAGGCTCTGGTTCCCACATGGACGACCACAGTTCAAGTCCCAGACCTTTCAGCATGCTTTCTTGCTTTCCCTTTCTCTTTCTCTCTGTCTGGTCAAATTAAAATGATAATAATAATAACAAATGTAATTAAATAAATAAATAATTCTTAAAAAAAAGAATTATAAAATTATTTTTTTAAAAAGTGTGTGGTGTTGATAATTGCTTAAAACTTTCTCCTTGGCCTCTTGTTACTGATTCATGCATGGCTCCTTGAGGGCCATGGGCTCCCCTCAGGGGTGGTAACTGGTCAGAGAGTCAGCTGCTCTCTGCTTTTCTGACCAACAAGATACACATATTTGGCTGGTCCATAGTGTAGTGGTTAGGCACTGTGCAGAGGAAGCCAGATTCCACATGGCCAACCATGGTTTGAGTCCTGGCCCCATCAACATGGCGCTGGGTGCATGCACACGTGCCCAGGATCTTGACAGGATAAAGGTTTGGAGGAAAAATGATTGTGATGTGGCCAGGCTAGAAGGTGCTTTCTTTCTCTTTCTTTCCCTCAGGGCATGTGTCCTTTGATGTAGGAACACAAAACAAAACAATACAAAGACATATTTATTAAAATAATTGGAGAAGGGTCAGCAGATGGCATGGAGGTTAAGGAGCTGGATCCCACATGGCTGGCTGCTCGGTCCAATCCCAGACCTGGAGACTTGACAGTCATGCCTGGTGCATGTGCATGTGCGCCCAAAATCCCAAGAGAAGAGTGGAGGACAAGGGATTGTGACACTGAGAGGTTAATTTCTTACTTTCCTTCTCTCTCCCTCTCTCTGTCTCATTCTCTGCAAGCACACATACCCTATAGCAAAAACTTAAAAACAAACAAAAAATAGCTGGAGAGAAGAGATGACAACGTCTCATTTCAACTGTTTGCCACACCATGTTATTTCTACTGCTTTCGAGGTGGTAGAAGTTCACTTCTGCCCACACCAGCTTGCCATCTTTGCAACAGGGAGACTCAAGCCCAAGGGGCTTGCAAGAAGCCAACCCCATTTAGTTCTGACAG